AAAAGTGGGTCGCGGACCCGTTTCGAGTGGGTCGCAGATGTGTGAGTGAAGAAAAAAAAATTAGAATTTTTTTTTCTTCCTTTTTTTAATTTTTTTGAAAAAAGTCAATCTTTTATTTTGAAGGCCCGATTTTCGAACGCTGTGCATGCAGTATGCGTTGGACTGGAAGTACCGGAGACCATGAACGGTTTTGAAAACTTCTGTCACGTAGTGATCATCTTCTCAATAAAACATCTTTGCTGATGTTTTTCCGAGTCTTATGGCCTTTGATCAGAATCCAGATTGTTGCCGGAAGTCCCCACGGAGAATAACTTTGCGGTAGAACTATTATTTATAGTATACTGAGAGGAGCAGTAAGCTGTCAGAACAAAGTGAAAAACAAACAATGACATAAAATATTATTAATATGTCGGGTAGCAATATATTTATTTATTTTCTTCTCAAGAGAGTACCAGAATGGGTATCTTATATGTTAGTATTTCAAAAAATCTCCTGGGGGAGAATCCCCCCAGACCCCCCTTCTGGGGTTGGGTTTTCAGCACGTATGTTATACAGTTCAGCTTTGATTCCATCATCTCATTAAACCTTATTTAAAAGCATACTTTAGTTCTGTGAAGGGATATAAAGGATATATGCACTGTACTTCACTTTAATTAATAATGTATGCTGAAAAGAGTGTATAGCCTATTACTGAACGATTTTTTGTTGAATAGATTTGAGTGGTTCAAAATTTGGGGTCGCGATCTATTGACTAAGGAAAAAGTGGGTCCCTAGGCCTGACCAGTTGAGAACCACTGGTGTAGACCACAAAAGGCAGAAATAAACAGGATAAGGCGTTAATATGCCACAGTATTCTTGCTAATGATAGTAGACAATCCATAGCTTATGAATATTTCTGAGCAAATCTAAACAGGATCAGACAATGTGTTCCAGATCTGAACAGGATTAACTGTGATACTATGCTAATATCGTCTGTTAATTTGCCCTAATTTTATACCAAATGTAATTTCTGTAACACTGTGTGACATATTTATCTAAAATAGATTCACACAAATTCCCTATATTAACTTTGTTTTGAAGGATTCCTTATTGGTCAAATGGAATGCATTCATGTGGACTCAAAAAGCCTCCATAGGAGCACTGTATGACTCATAACCATTTGTCTAACTGAAGTAGTTTAGTTTGGAGAAAAATAAATCAGCACTTGTGCAACTACCTTGTTTTGAACATCTACAGTATAATAAAAGAAGATCATTATTCATGACATCATTCATTTCTGAACTACACTTGATAAAACACAAAATCTCTGGTGTAAAAGCCCAAAACTGTTAACCGAGTACAAATCTGACATCTGTTGTTCCATTTTTTCTGCATAATGTTTTAAAATGGTCATTTCTCTATGACAAGAATAAAAAATGAACTAAGTTGTTTACTGTTACATTAATCCTCTCATATTCTGAATGCTTTTCTGTTTTATTCTCTACTGTTGGTTACAGCATCAGTGTACATAAATGGATCTGTTTTCATAATGTTCCACAATGTAGACTAAATGTGTTATTATTTCAGGTAAGCTAATCAGTCATGGAAATCAGCTTATAAAATACATCCAAGATTGTTGTGAAATAAGACAGCACAGGTACAGGTATCTCTCTCCTTCTGCTTTACATCCCCATATGAGTTACAGTGCAAGATGCTATGTCAGATAAATGCCTCCGACTGGCGAGACTGTGATGTGGCTGCAGGATTCACTGACGTCCCCAATGAACTTTTTTGTTTTGCCAGATCGGATTTATTTTCACAGCCGAGGAAATGATGCACAGTTGTTGAATTAGATGTGGATGACAAAAAGACCTACAGCAGCTATTGCTCAGAAGGCAAGGTGATCCATGCAGCCCACGCGCAAACAGCAGTCTATTGATTCCGACCTTGATTGTTAGACAAGGTCAAGTTTGAGTCTTTTTATGCCTGGGTGCTTAAATGAAGAGCATATAACAAAAGTCTGCTTCTATAGGGAAGTCTTTGCAAAAGTGGAACTATTTAGAGCTGTCACATATCTGCAAAGGACACTCAGTGCTCCTCACAATGACTGACAGTCAACAACTAATGGGCAAACGTAATCATCGAATGCTTCAGCTATTTTCAAAAGATTAGATGTGACAACTCATGAATGCCACATTCAATGTGTAAGGGCATGTGGCTGCAATAGATAAGATAAGATCTTTAATTAGTCATTGTACAAGTACAACGAAATTACAATATGAACCAAGGTGCCAACGCGCAACAACAAGACAATATAAAAACAACAAGACAATATAAAAACAACAAATGGGACTTAAATAGACATGATAGGGAATATGTACATAAATAAATAATAAATTAAATTGCACGATTCCCCTCGTATTGCACGGAAGACATGATTATTGCACGGAAGACATGATAACTTAAATATTAGCAGCGTTAAGTGCACATATTGCCCTGGGAAAGAAACTAAATTTGAGTCTGTTTGTCCGGGAAGACATGGTACAGAAGTGCCTGCCTGAGCGCGGCCAAAGCGCTCGTTACCCGGGTGATGTGGGTCCTTGAGGATCTTGACTGCCTTCTTAAGGAAACGAGAGCTGTACAGTACCTCCACCTTTCTGATTTTATTAAATCAGAAAGGTGGAATTAATGAAGTATAACATGTAAAAAATAAAATTAAAAAATATATTGTACTTATAACAAGGATGCATGGACTGATGAAGAACCAACATGCTCTCCACCAAAACCACACACACACACACACACACGCACGCACACACGCACGCACGCACGCACGCACGCACGCACACACACACACACACACACACAGTTAGCAAGGATAATATATCTGACAGAATTCATATATTCACTGCCGGTAGATCTGGTGTACCCTTGTGACACATGGCAGGCCCAAGAGGAAGACAGTGACACATGTCCCAATAGTCAATGAGGTACGTTTGGATTTGAAGTTTTCACGGAAAGCATCCGACAGGCAGGTTGTGATCACCTCTAAAAGACAAGAAGAGGGGTGAGAATTCATGAGCCAATTAAACAGTTACAGTGATTTGTTGATATGACATAGATACAGCGTGTAGAAAAAGGGGCTTTGGGTACGAGGTATGATAGCAAAGCCACTGGTAAATGACAATCTCACCTAAACATGTAAACTGAGAGTCCAGGACAACTATGATGAACATAAAGAAAACCAAGATGGACCAAAGAGGGTAAATGGGAAGTTTAGCCAAGGTGTCTGGATACCCAATGAATGCCAGGCCAAATCCTGCACAACAATAGAGCAACACACTTTCAGAAAAGAACATCATACTGTAGCAGATTTTTGACATCTTGTCTCAATCAGTCAGTTATATGAAAGATGCCGACCTTCCTTCACCACTGCTGCAACAAGCTTTCCATAGATGTGGGCCATATGACCCAAAATTGAGAAAATGGCAAAGCCTGCAAATACACTCGTAGCTGTAACAGAAAATTACAATAGTCACTCCAAATGTAGCGACAGCTTACAGAATTTCTCACACTGTATATCAAAGGTGCCACTCAAGGCGTTTTATACAACTTAAATCTTGCTACAGAAAATGGAAGCTGTAGATAACTCTCTCCGAGGACTCAATGGTCCAACTGTAAACTGACATAGTGTACTATGCACAGCACTATACATAATGGTTTTGATGTTTGAAGAAAGAATGACTTATAACATGGTATTGTTATGTCTTAAATAAACTCTGACAATATCCTTCAGCTTTGAAATAGTGCTTCAAATGTATTTTCCTACCATGATTTAAGAGGGTTACAACAACTGAGTCTAAGAACATGTTGTTATGGAAGTTGCTATAAGAAACAAGAGTCGCAATTCCAATTGAAAGGTCTGAGTTGCTTCATCCTTCCAGACCTGAAACACACCAACATGACTTAAGAGAGTGATATAGGACATCATTTATAGGACAACTCAACTCTTCTTAGCCATGCTACCGGCATGACTGAAGGAGTGGCAATATTTGCAGACAGAAATATTCAACACAAACTGGGCAGATTGCCTTTAAAAAGTGTACAGACATGCATGTTTCCCAGATGATGGGGTTAGGGTAAGGCTTAGGGTTAGAGTTAAGGATAGGCTTGAACTTTGTATCTAGCACCAATCTAATCTGTGGTATTAAAAAAAAGTATTTGATCACAAAACAACTTTTCATCTAGCACCATCATCAGTTCACAATGTATCTTTTCCAATATTCACCATCATACCTAATGACATTGCCATCACCCTTAGCTTTTTGTTGAGAGCTAATTAGTACATTTTAGTATGTAAAAGTGCTAACCTAAGATAATTAACATTCAAACATTATACTGTACCTGCTGAACATCAGTTAGCATTGTCACGTATGTACCTACCTGTGCTTCTGTCAGTTTAGTCAAATTGGATTGGGAAACAATGTAGAACTCTATCCCGTCTCTGGCTCCCTCTAGTGTCCTACCTCTGATCAGCAGGATCAATATCAACACATACGGAAACGTAGCTGTAAAATAAACCACCTGGAGAGACAAAAGACATGATTTCATATTCTGAACGTGTGATCTCATGATAGAGTTATGCAACTGCCTTTATTTATAAGATATTTAAAAGTGCAAAGTTAACCATGGCATGTACATTCCTGCACAGCATCAATTTGTTGTTTTGTATGTAGGCTACGGGGTGAGTGGATATTCAGATAATGTGGATAAGGACTTGGGGTGGATGTTGTCACACGGCCGAGGAGGAGAAACATCTGAGCGTTCAGCCACAGCATTTATGATAAGTGGGCGAATTTGTGTTTGTAGTGTGTAATCCTTACTCCCAGTACTGCTCACTCGGGCTCTGCATGGGAACTGTGATTGTGTCAAATGAAGGACAGGTGGTGTTCTCCTGAGTCCAGTTGGTCACTAAAACACCACTTACATTACAGTACACTAGAAAAGTAAAAGAAAAAAGACCAAATAAGTGTTACTTAAGCTTTGATCTGAGGTGTAAAGTGCACAAGAACAAGTTCATTTCAACATAAAAGCAGGTTTGATCCTCAACTTCTTAAAATATGGAAATAATAAAAGCACCTTGAGGCGTGGTGCTGCAGTTACTGTCAGGCAGACTGAGGCAGCTGGACCACGGCAGAAGAAACTGGAAGGAGGCGAACATGTAGTACAGGCTGTAGGCGATGATGAGGTTGTAGTAAATTGACATAAACCTGGTTACTAAAACCACGGAAAGGCCAACACCTGGAGAAGATAACAGGTTATAACACACTATAATGCTGGACTATACACTTTAATAAGTTATTTGGAAAGATGTTTTACTTCTTATCCCCACTGAGCACCTACAACAATCATTATTTTCTTTTAGACAGAAGAAGACCGAAAAGCCACTATTCAAAATCTTCTTTTTCATTATTATTACATTATTAAAACAAATAACTGAATGTTGCAGCCTTTAACATATCTACTGTTAGGCTTACCCTGCAGTATCAGCACTGCTCTCCAACTGTTAACTGGACCTTGGCTGCAGAACTGACCAATGGCATTCTCCAAGAAGAAAAGAGGAATTCCACATAAAACCAACATCAGGTAATAGGGAATGAGAAAGGCACCTGCTCACAGGCATGACAGCATGTTTTAGTGATGATGACAGTACTTACAACACTGGCATCATTTTTTGTTGTTGTAAATAATTACCGCTCCCATGTTTATAGGTTAAATATGGAAATCTCCAGATATTTCCCAGGCCAACAGCGAAGCCTATCATGGAGATAGATCATCTTTTTTCATTAAGAATATGCACTAAAATCCAAAAGAAAGAGGTGTTCCAAACATGTCCAGTATGGTATTACAAGTTAGCATTGCTGGGGGGTAATTACTGTAGGTCATTATGTCTTGGAAGCTATTGTAAAAGCAAAATATAATTTGTTTCCTTAGTTAATTGGCAACAGTTATGCTAGATATGTATTCATTTGTTGAAAGTCCTACCTGATCATTAAGAATAGCAGGGTCCTTGGAAATGTTCGAGCAATATTTCCACATTTTCATCTGCTTTTGATGGTTTCAAGTCACAGCGACCAACATGAATTCCTGCCAATGGTTTCTGCTTTTTACACAGGTAAACCTGTCTACACTGTTGAGACCTGTTACAGTAAGTCAAAAATAAATTATCACTCAAACGGCCATCTTACCTCAGATCTTAAAGAAACAGCTCACCCTTTAGAAATTCTACCTTGAATTTAGATTTTTTTTTTGTAAACTGCTCAATATTCAACTTCTTATATACAGTAGTTTGGATGCATTGTAAAGTAACTAAATTCCTTTAAATGCCCACATTGAGTGTATGTATGTAAGTCGCTTTGGGTAAAAGCATCTAACATGTGATGTAACAAATATTCTACATTAACTTTAGTTAAAGTAAGCCAATGTTTTTTTTGCACTTCTAAGTAATATATTAGGCTATGAATACACACATTTACCATCCAGTAACATTTAAACCATGATTGTCTCTTCTCTCTTACCATCACTGCAGCAACTCATATGACAAATAAGCTTGTTGAATGAAAGCTGCTCGGTTTACACATAGGCGTAGTCATTTTGTCACCAGACTGAGCTCCATGTATGATCTCTACACCCCACGGTGTGCTCTAATTGCTTCATTAAGGACCCTAGGATTAATCAAATACTATTTTACTGTTGACACATGCTGAGAAGTGAAGTTGTTAAAGCTGTTTTATTAAATACTGGATGTCTCTCTCTCTCTCTCTCTCTCTCTCTCTCTCTCTCTCTCTCGGTTTCCCTCTCACACGCACATTAGATATCAAGGGATCATCTAGTTTTACAGATGAACTGAAACTGCTCCTGAGCAGCAAATAATAATGTTTATGCTCCATTTGTTAATGCATTGGCCTATAGTAGAAGGCCAAATTCCAGTCTGCTCTCGCTGTCCAGAGTATAAGCACTTCCAGAACACCCCAAGCCGTGTCTCCATTCAATTGGAGGCTAAACCTTCCCTAAATGATCAGTCCCTTAAACTACTAACACTGATGGTCCCTAAATGTCTCACATGCAGGCTACTGCTACAATAAATATTGTCCATCAACTCCTGTAGAAAAGGCAATGATTTCATACACAACAAATACATGTACTGATCAGATAGCTCATAAGAAGGTAGCACTATCAAAGCACTAACTATGTTTTGAATTCTGTCAGAATGAGATGCTGGTAGAAACTGTGGCAGGATTTAATGTACGCGGCACGTAGCTAATGTAAATAAGTGCGGTTTAACAACAACCTGTCTGACAAAGTCGCATCCTCATGCGAAATTAGTGCCTAGCTCACCACCCAGTCTATGGCATTCGTGTCACCAACACGATTTTAAAATCTATGATCGTGTTCGACCAACACGATTTTCCCCTTTTTTTCGTGTGCCACAGCACGATTTAAAGTAATGTATTTCTATTGTAGTTCTCACGGATACGTGGGTATAGGAGACCGGAAAGCTGTTGGTTTTGATAGGGCAAGAGGTTTGTTATTACTTAATTAATATTGTATTGAATATTATTGGTGGTTATCGTAGTTTTGAGTCCACGCCTTGGGATGACGCAAACTGTCCTAATTACTTACATGTTTCTGCTCGTAGTTTACATGGGCATAGTAGCTTTATGATAATTAATTGATAAATGCAGAAGGACCCTTTATTGTGGTTCATAAAGCAGTCTTATTCAATATCTATAGCACAATATTGCTTTTATTTTAAATCGTATAATTCGGTGATTTTGTGCCGTCTTGTATGCGCTGTTGAGGAACCTGTCGACCGGGTTCATTTCAGGATGTGCAGACTACCGTGAAGAAAAATAAATATAGAAGGAGTTATGATGCTTCACATCAATTTCACTATGAAACTCATGTTATAATTCTATTGAACGGGAATTGCTAATAAGAATAGCCTGTGCTGATGAGATATTTATACAGGCATTTAAGAGATGAATTGGATCAAGTATTAAGGAAGTTGAGGGAATAGACGGTAATGAATATACTTTATACTCGTTCCATCATGTCAATAGTCACGCTATAAATGTTGATAGATTCTTACCAAGCCCAAATATCAAAACTAGCGTGTCGCCTGATTGTGCCACTGACATCAATCCACGCGATTTTCAAATACGCAGGTGTAATCTAAAGTCTGCTTTAAGTGTTGTTCTATATTAGGGGTTTCCCCACAACATTTATATCAGATCATGCAATAGATAGCAAAGACTAGCTGCCAATATAGAACAGGAAAAAACTGGGGGCAGTGACCATGGTATAATAAATGTGTAGGGTTGGGGGACTCTCTACATTTTTTGTCCTGAATTCCTAGACCACACTCGGCATAACTCGCCAATAGGGCGTTCACACGGCGCCTCACGACTGTGGTTGACTTCAATGGAATATTTCTTCTCGCTTTAAAAGGAGGGTGAGTATAAAAGTAGCCCAAGGTTACCTGCTCAGAATTGTAGAATGGGTGAGTACGTATTGAATTACAGAACGCGTAATTAATGGGAATGGTTATAATAATTGCACAGAAAGATGTGTAAGATAAATGAATGAGCTGTCATGTGGGACCAACGGGGTGGTTTATAAAATCATTAATGCTGCCATTTAGTGGACGACAAGTTAGACGACAGTGTTTATAACTCAAAACCTCTATTTGTTTCTATTTCTCCCCTTTTATTTTTTCATATAAAGATTTTTTTTTACAGGCTCCCCGGATGAGTTACATTATTTTAGATTTTATACATCTTGAATAAGTAGCACATCAATGTATTCAAACATGGCCCTACTCGGATATGTAGGTGATAATATCGATATGAGTCGTCAAGAAGAGACGTCCGATTTAAGCATGTTGTAGTTCTTCTTGGGGGGCGTTCTAGTATTCCAAGTTTTGAGTAGTCGTGTACCGATAAGTGTCGATTTCACCTCAATCAAACAGCATGTTGCCGGCACGGAAAATTACCCCATTCTACAGTTAATAGTCTCTTTACAAGCGCGACTACCTCGATTGGTTCGTCGAGAGCGGAGGTGCGCAAAGGTACGTCGGATCTCAAACATAGAGAGTATATAGAGAAAAAGGCGAATCGAGCAGCGCCAGAGCCGTAATGATATCATAGAGTAGGCGAGTAACGCCGACCGGCGCTGATCCCCCAGCCAGACATGCAATAGGTGGCGATCATCTGTCTAAACGTTATTTTCCCGCGAGTGGAAGTGTAGCGTTAGTAGTTTGTCATATTTAAAATGTGGAGGCAGCACACACATGTTTTGATCTTTCACCCATGATAACGAGCATAAACTTTAAATGGTGAACTGTCGCTTTGATCATAATGCAGCCTTTGGTGGATATATACACACAGCTATGGCAAGCGAACCGTCATCTTCGACGTACCCTCACTACAAATCCGAGTCGCCATAGTAACACACGCCCTCATAAATGTCTTTAAGCTCCACACATACATTAATAAATGGCTGAAAATACTTGTGACCAATAATTGCGCAGATTAATGATGTGAAAAACCCACATAAACAACCCATGTTACTAAGTAATCTACTCCATTACATTTCAGCTGAACCTGGTATTTTATACTACGACGAAAAGGTATGTCAGTAAAGACACACCATTAATCATGCAAATAAAAACAACACATATAGCGACTTAGGGATCACCGCAGAAAACTCAAGGGACGGATATGTCTGAAGTGCCAACATCAAGAGAGAGAGTTTGATAGTGGTGCTAGAAAGACTAACATTTATCGACAATTAAGAAAGATATGAAACGAGATAAGTATTCATTACCGTTATATCTAATAATAGTTACTAAGACGATATCGCAGGAGAGCTATTTTGACACATCCCTATCAAGAATTTCAGATTACAAAGAGTTAATAGACAGTTATGCATGTAATACACAATGGATATGCAAGAGAGAAAAACTATGCGTCACAGCGTTCACTTTCATCAAGCACGCCATTACAAGTACGGCAACTATAGAGAAGGTCCGAAATATACGAGATAAATAAAAGACAATAATTGTGGGCTTGAGTATTGAGTAATGAACATGCTTTATGAACAACACGCTTCCGGTTCACCTTATAACAGTAAATGCCGTGAGATCGACCAAATACAAATATACATTACTTTTAAATCGTGCTGTGCAACACCAAAAAAAAGAGGAAATAGTGTGGTGACACAAGAATCAATAAATTTTAAAAAAGCTTGTGTTGGTGAAACACGAAATGCCATGGAGTACCGGCGGGTGAAGCTTAGAGACACTACATTCGCAATGAGGATGCGACTGGTCAGGACAGCGTTGTTGTTAAACCAGCACTTTAGTGTAACATTACTACGTTGCCCGTACATTAGAATCCTGCCACAGTGCTACCAGCCATTCTCATTCTGCACAGAATTCAAAACATAGTTTAGTGCTTTGATTAGTGCTACCTTCTTATGAGCTATCTGATCCAGATACATGTGTTGTTGTGTATGAAATCATTGCGCCTTTTCTACAGGAGTTGCAATGGACAATATTTATGTGTAGCAGTTAGCCTGCATGGAGACATGTAGGGACCATCAGTGTTTAGTTAGTTTTAAGGGACTGACATTTAGGAAGGTTTAGCCTCAAATTGAATGCCAGACACGGCTTGGGGTGTCTGAGAAGTGCCTTATACTCTGGACAGCGGGGGGGGGAAGAGCAGACTGGAATTTGGCGTCCTTCTATCTATAGGCCAATGCATTAAC